TATATATATATGTGTATATATGTGTGTATATATATATGTATATATATATATATAGACACACACACACACATACATGTGCACTTTTTTGCATATATGTATGTGTTTGTGTGTATATGTATGTGTGTGCGTGCATATGTGTGGGTATGTATGCATCTATATGTATGTGCATAGGGTAAATATGCATCATAGACTAAGCTGTGTGTAATTTTATGTATATGCACATGTGTGTGTGTGTATAAAAATTTAAGACTATCAGATGTGTGTGTGAAATTTTATTTATATACATATACGTGTATATATGTTTTATATAAAGAGAGAGAGACTAAATAAGGTGTGTGTATATTATTTAATAATTATAATACATTTTATATATATATTTCACACACATCTTCTCTTTAGTTGGGGGGGGGGGGGTGTGTGTGTGTAATATATATAGAGGGAGCCCACAAGCTTTCATGAACACGAGTTCACTTCGTTAGATGCTGTGAAAGGACTTGCTGAGAACAGTTTACAACAGTGGTTCCCAATCTTTTTTTTTCCGCACCCCGCTGCTGGGAGCAGTGTGGCAGCAGCCTGGGGGCAGGGGAGCTCCCAGCACACAGAGTGGCTCATCTTTTCTGTGCGGTGGCACCGCCGGCATTAGCTCCGCAACCCTCCTTTGGGTCGGGACCCGGGGTTGAGAACCACAGTTTATAAGATGGAGAGAGAAATCAATATGCAAGACAATGTGGGAGGAAAGAGGGGGAGGACAGGGGTGCTAGGAGAAAAAAGAGCAGTAAATTCATAGGAACAAAGTGAGGGGTCACAAAAGCTAATCCAGGTAATGAGATGGGTTTTCACAGTCCCTGTTTAAACCATACTTAACCTGATCCAGTTCATGAATGATTTCTTGTTTCACCATTTCCTGTGCAAACTGGTTTTTAGTTTGTTTCTTGCCTGAGAATAGTAATCCTGAAGTCAGTGATGCAGTGTCCAGGAGAGTTCTGCCACAGACTTCTTTTTCTTTCTGCATCTGATGTCCCAGTCAGGTATGGGAAAGTGTTGTGAAAGATCCCTTCCGATTACTGTTACATGCAAGAGGCTGCGTAGTCTTAACTCTCAGCTCATGTTGGCAGTGACCAGCAAGTGTTTCTCATGTTTTGTGCCCTGAGCTGACGAGATCTCAGTTTAATTTCTGATGGATGAGTGGCCCGATAAATCAGTGCTTCTCAGATTTGTAGACTCCTGGCACCCCTCTATAATGCTTATAAACTGAGTGGCATCCCAATTCAGGAAATAATTTTTATTGCAACACTTGACTCCTGAGGTGGAGAGGAGTGAGCATTTAGTTTCTTGCAGAGCAAGAGGAGGCAGGGATCATCACGAACTTACTGTCTTGCACTGGAGTCAAGCACAGGAGACTGTTTAGCTCCTTGAACAGGGGGAAGAGATAGGATAGAGGAGAGAGCACATATCTCCTCTCACAGAGCCAGGCATGGACAAGTGAAAACTTACTTCCTTGCACTGGAGCCAGGCAGAGGTGAGTCTGTGCTTAACTCCTTGCTTAGGGGCCAGTCAGGGAAGAGTGAGTGCTTATCTCCTTGCACCCCACAGCACCTTCAGAAGGCGATCATGGCATCCCTGTTGAGAACAGCTGCAATAAAAAATACCACTGCTGTGATTGACACTGACTTTCTTATATTAATAGGCACAGCAGAAAGGCTGTGTTCTGAATGCCTTTCCTCCAGGGGTGCCTGAGCCTGCCTTACTGACAGGGGATGCAGGCTCTGCTTCCATAGATTAACAGAGGACTTCAGATTCCAGTGCTTGGTATTTAGAGCACGTGTAAGAGGCAAGTGGGCTTTAATTAAGACCATGTAGAGACAAACAGCAGTCCAGTAATTTTAAGTAGGAGTATGCCCCAAGAAAATGAAGGCCTTTCACTGTATGATCGCTAAATCCATCCTTTATCTTGCTAGTCCCTCTTGAAGGAACATGTAGTAAATTTGGGTTGTTAAGTCTGTGAAACCGGTGATTACTTAGTCATGGGAGTTAAGTGCCTTGTTCTTGACTGGCTTTCATTCTTTCTTTGGACACAGCGCTAACTGTACCTGAGGGGCTCTAATCATGGCATCAGTCCCGCCCCCTGAAGAGGGCAGCGTGACGGTGGTGGTGCGGGTACGGCCACAGAACCAACGGGAGCAGGAAGGGAACCAGCACAGCACAGTGCGGGTGGTTGATGACAGAATACTAGTGTTTGACCCCGAGGAGCCCTGCCTTCCGGGGGTCTTCATGGGATTCCGGGGACACGATGCCCCCAAACGGAAAGGCAAGGACCTCAAGTTCATGTTTGATCGAGTGTTTAGCGAGCATGCTACACAGGAGGAGGTGTTCCAGCACACAACGAAGGAGATCCTTGATGGAGTGCTGAATGGGTACAACTGCTCTGGTAAGGAGCCTTGCAGTAGTGTTCCATGATACAGACTTACCAGAATGTATTGCAGAGTTAAATATTCAGTTTGTCATTGTTCAGAGCACGAGCTGACTGCCTGCAGAGGTAAAAGGAATTTTTCTGTTACATCCAACACTTACCTGCAGGGAACTGCTGCCTTTTGAAGATGGGTCTTTTCAGCATGTTTGGTTTGTTTTTTTTTAATTCCTCTGACTCCACCCAGCAGAAACCCATCCCCCACCATTTAGCCTGCATGATTAAACTTAAATGATCTATTTGATGCTTTAGGCAGGATCCTGGATGAGATTGGCTCAATAGAGGATCAGGCCTAGCTAGTTTTATGTTCCTGTAGAACACAGTGTGCTGTTTTGCCAATAAGCAGAGTGTAAGGCTTGCAAAAATTACTAACGTAGCCTGTCAGGTGCTTCTCTCCTCCCTGCCTCCCCCAACCATTCTGCTCCTGGAATTTCTGTGATCCAGTACAAAAACGTAGCTCTAGCAGTTTAGAAATTAGGAGGATCCTGATGATCCTCCTAGAGCAGGGCTGACCATCTTCTAAGTGACTGGAGGCCAAAGGCCCCAGAGGTGGCACCAACAAGGGCCACACCCCAGGGCACGCGTGGGTCTCTGAGACACATGCTGCATGGAGGCTGCATGCCTGCATTTCTCCCCACCAACATACACACCCATGGCCCCCCCCACGCCCAACTGCTGCACTAAGCACATGCACATCTTCCCCATCCCCCACACACTACCGCATCATGGAGCCCCAGGCACACCCTCAGTTCCCCATAGCTGCTGCATTCCCCTGCCCACCCCCAACCAGTGTCAGACAGCAAAAGCAGAGCAACAAGGAAAGCAGCCTGGCAGCAGTCCAGGGTCTGCAATTCAACCCTTGGTGTGGCCACCAGTTGGACAGCTCTGGAATACAGTGTACCCTGATAATTAGAGGTGCATTGATACATCGGTTCATATCAGTTCTGCGCTGATATACAGAAAATTGGCTGTTTTGGAAATCAGCCTAATGTGGCTGATAAATGGCCCATGCATGTGCACAGCTGCAGCACAGCATGTAGGTGGTGAGCTGGCAGCTTGGAGAGCTGCCTGCAGCTAGTAAGTCTGTGGTGGACAGGGAGTGGGGAGG